CTGTTCTAAGAGGAAAATTTACAGCAATACAAACCTACCTCAAGAACCAAGAAAAATCTCAAATAAACAACCTAACCTTATACCTAAAAGAGCTAGAGAAAGAAGAACAAACAAAACCCCAAACCAGTAGAAGGAAGAACATAATAAAGATTAGAGCAGAAATAAATGAAATAGAAATGGAGAAGAAGAAGAAGAAGGAGGAGGAAGAGGAGGAGGAGGGAGAGGAGGAGAAAAGTAAGAAAAGACTGATGAAACCAGGAGTAGATTGTTTGAAAAGATCAACAAAATTGATAAACCTGTATACAGATTCATAAGAAAGATAGAAAGAAAGAAAGAAAGAAAGACTAGCTAGCTCAAATAAAATCAGAAATGAAAGAAAAATAATAACTGACACCACAGACATACAAAGGATTATGAGAAAATATTATGAAAAATTACATGCCAACAAATTGGACAACCTAGAAGACCTAGAAGAAATGGATAAGTTCCTAGAAACATATAACCTGCCAAAACTGAATCAGGAAGAACTAGAAAATTTGAACAGACCAATTACTAGCAATGAAATAGAATCCATATTCAAAACATTCCCAAGAAACAAAAGTCTAGTACCACAAGGCTTCACAGGTGAATTCTAACAAACACTTAAAAAGTTAATTGCTATTTTTCTCAAACTATTCCAAAAAATAGAAGAGAAAGGAAAGTTTCCTAAGTCATTCCAGGAGGCCAGCAGCACTCTGATAAATACACTGCAAAAAAAGAGAACTATAGGCCAGTATCGCTGATGAACATAGATTAAAATACTCACAAAATATTAGCAAATTGAATCTAACCATACATTAAAAAAATCATTCACTACAATCAAGTGGGATTTATCCCAGCATATAAGTGTGGTTCAATGCTTGCAAATCAACCAATGTGATTCATCACATCAACAAGAGAAAGGATAGGGGGGCCTGGCTGGCTCAGTCGGTAGAAAATGTGACTCTTAATCTTGGGTCATAAGTTAAAGCCCCATGTTGGGTGTAGAGATTACTTAAAAATCAAATCTTGGGGCGCCTGGGTGGCTTGGTCAGTTAAGCGTCCAACTTTGGCTCAGGTCATGATCTTATGGTCCGTGAGTTCGAGCCCCACGTCGGGCTCTGTGCTGACAGCCCAGAGCCTGGAGCCTGCTTCTGATTCTGTGTCTTCCTCTCTCTCTGACCCTCCCCCATTCATGCTCTGTCTCTCTCTGTCTCAAAAATAAATAAACGTTTAAAAAAAATCAAATCTTAAAAGAAAAATAAACACAAGAGAAAGGATTAAAATGATATATCATTTCGATAGATCCAGAAAAAGCATTTTACAAAGTACAATATCCATTCCTAATAAAATCCCTTAACAGAGTAGGTTTAGAGGGAACATACCTCAACATAATAAAGGCCATTTATAAAAAACCCACAGTTAACATCAAACTCAATGGTGAAAAGCTGAGAGCTTTTCCCCTAAGAACAGGAAAAAGACAAGGATATCTACTCTCACCACTTTTATTCAACATTGTACCAGAAGTCCTAGCCACAGCAATCAGATAAGAAAAAGGAATAAAAGGCATCCAAATTGATAAGGAAGAGGTAAAACTTTCTCTATTTGCAGACGGCATGATATTATCTAAGGACCAAAAAACTACTAGAACTGATAAAGGAATTCAGTAAGGTCACAGGATACAAAATCAACATACAGAAATCTGTTGATTGCCATACACTGATAATAAAAGAGCAGAAAGAAAAATTAAGAAAACAATCTCATTTACAATTGCACCAAAAACAATAAAATATCTAGGAATAAAATTAACCGAGGAGGTGAAAGATCTGTACTCTGAAAACTATAAAACATTGATGAAAGGAATCGAAGTTGACACAAACAAATGGAAAGATATCCCATGCTCATGGATTAGAAGAACAAACATGTTAAAATGTCCATACTTCCCAAAAGTCATCTACCAAGTCGATGCAACCCCAATCAAAATACCAACAGCATTGTTCACAGAATTAGAATAATACTAAAATTTGTATGGAACCACAAAAGACCCCAAATAGCCAAAGCAATCTTGAAAAAGAAGAACAAAACTGTAGGTATCACAATCCCAAGTATCAAGATACACTACAAAGCTACAATAATCAAAACAGTATGGTACTGGCACAAAAGGAGACACATACAACAATAGAACAGAACAGAGAGCAGTAAACCCATGGTTATATGATCAATTAATCTTCAATGAAGGAGGCAGGAATATGCAATGGGGAAAGAAATCTCTTCAAAAAATGGTGTTGGAAAAACTGGACAGCTCCATGCAAAAGAATGAAACTGGACCACTTTCTTACACCATACACAAAAATAAACTCAAAATGGATTAAAGACCTAAATAGGAGACTTGAAACCACAAAAATCCTACAAGAGAGCACAAGCAGTAATTTCTCTGACATCAGCCACAGCAACATTCTTCTAGATATATCTCCTGAGGCAAGGGAAACAAAAGCAAAAATAAACTATTGGAACTACATCAAAGTAAAAAGTTTCTGCACAGTAAAGGAAACTATCAGCAAAACTAAAAGACAAGCCAATAAATGGGAGAAAATATTTGCAAATGACATAGCCAATAAAGAGCATCTAGAATATATAAAGAATTTATACAACTCAACACCAAGAAAACAGATAATCTAGCCAAAAAATGGGCAGAAGACATGAACAGACATTTCTCCAAAGAAGTCATCCAGATGGCCAACACACACATGAAAAGATGCTTAACATCACTCATCATCAGGGAAATGCAAATCAAAACCACAATGAGATATCGCCTCACACCTGTCAGAATGGCTACAATCAAAAACACTGAAAAGCAAGAGTTGGCGAGGATGTGGAGAAAAAGGAACCCTCTTGCTCTGTCAGTGGGAATGCAAACTGATGCAGCTACTGTGGAAAAGACATGGAGGTTCCTCAAAAAGTTAAAAACAGAACTACCCTACAATCCAGTAACTCCACAAAAACACCAATTCAAAAAGATGTATGCACCCCTGTGTTAATCACAGCATTATTTACAACGGCCAAATTATGGAAGCAGCCCAAGTGTCCATCAATTGATGAATGGGTAAAGAATATGTGGTATATTTAAACAATGGAATATTAGTTAAAAAAAAAAGACTGAGATCTTGCCATTTGCAACAAAATGGATGGATCTAGAGGGCATAATACTAAGTGAAATAAGCTAGCCAAAGAAAGACAAATACCATATGAGTTCACTTACATGTGGACTTAAACAAGCAAAACAAAGCATCTGGCTGGCTCAGTCAGAAAAGCATGTGACTCTTGATCTTGGGGTCATGGGTTTGAGCCCCATGTTGGTGTTGGATTACTTAACTAAATAAATAAACTTAGAGGCTCCTCAGTAGCTCAGTCAGTTGAGCGTCCAACTT